ATATCCTCAAGAATCCACAAGAACAGTGACTTGACCCACCAGACTGGTCAACTATCTACTGAATGTGAAGGTAAAGAAACAGAATTTCAGTACTCCTTGAATATATGAATCAAAAATATGGTTTGAAATAAAAGCCTACCAAGACCTAAAAAACTAATCTATATTTCAGTATTAAGTTCTACTTGGCTTATGTGAACTAGTCAATGTATAAGAAATGACACATCCCCAAAATAGAGGAAACATCTATATGTATATTAAGCCAAGCAACCAGAACAATCAGAGATCAGAACCAGAACCACAGGTCACTACGACAGGTACTACGGCCAACATGATCTGGGGTGGGGCCAGCTGGCCAACCTCCCACGTCCCCGGACCCCACCCATGCATGAATTCATGCACCCGGCCTCTAGTTATTAAAATATGTACAGGGCTAATCATGTCTGTGGTCTCCCCACAAGTCCAACTGCTTAAAGTTCCCTGAATAGATCATGCTCCCTTATGCGCCCATGTTTTGAATGTACACTATAATCTGTAATGTACATTATTCATCTGGGTCTTAATACTCATTGTGAAAATACCTTCTATAATGGAAATCCTTCCCTTAAGTCTAAGTCCTAGTTTAATGTCCCTTATTTATACTCCCCTAACACTTGGCAATATTACCCAATGAAAGCATCTGTCAAAAATAATTACTCTGCTTATCCCTCTTGGTTTCTTGGAGGAGAGGAAGACTCCCATTATTGTAACTCCATCATCTTGTATAATGTATGGCACTTAGGAAGTGTTCAAGAAATGTTGAATGAATGAATAAATGAATGAGAAAAGGACTTCAGTTTGTTCATCTGTGAAAAATGAGTGAGCTGATGTTCAAGGTCTCTTCCAGCTTCTATTCTAGTAGAATGAAAAACCTAATAAAATCAAATGACGATTACATATAATAAAGACTTGGATCCATGTTTGGAGTGGATCATTTCTAAATCATAATATCACAAGTTGCTGATGTATACAACATTTTCTTTACATATGATTTTAATATTTAAGCCTAAAGACCGTAAATTGCTGTTAAATTTACATTGCTTATTATGGTTGGGGAAATTTCTCTTCAAAAAGCATTAAATGCCCTAGCTGGTTTGGCTCAGTGGATAGAGTGTTGACCTGTGGACTGAAAGGTCCCGGGTTTGATTCCAGTCAAGGGCACATGCCCAGGTTGCGGGCTCAATCCCCAGTAGGGGTCGTGCAAGAGACAGCTGATCAATGATTCTCTCATCATTGATGCTTCTCTCTGTCTCCACCCCCGTTTCCTTCCTCTCTGAAATCAATAAAAATATATTTAAAAAATAAAATAAAACCATTAAATACCCATTAGTAATACTAATTTTAACACAAGGTAATATATCGTTTTGCATAGGTAGGTAAAGAACTACAGATATTTCATAACTAAGGATAGGTGAATATTAAGGAAGTATTTACATTTTGGGGGCCTAAATGGTAGGAAATGGATCATTATCCAAAAGAATACTCGGCGCAAAATAAATGTGTATTAAAAGACATATGGAAGTTCCATGCAGCTTCTGGCCCAATTCCACATACAATCTCCAAAAAGAGCTATTATTGAATATAGTTACATCTGCAATGAAGATGTATAGAAGGAGAGATTTGGCTTTAGAATGTGATTATTTTTATTAGTCTTTCAAGGCAATAGTATGTAACATATGGTAAATTATTTCAAATAAAAGTATTTTTGTGAGGACTTAGTTTACAATCAACTGGGAAGCTATCACATTCCTAACCTTATACCAAAAGGTGATCAGCTAACCAAACAAAGTAAACTTTAAGTATTTTTTTGAAAGTTTTTATTTGAATACAACAAAATTAAAGTCATTTATATACATTAATTGTGCATGCTAAGAATTGAATTACTTGATAATTACACATAAAAAATGTATACAATAATAATTATTCCAACATCATTTTCTAGGTGAAAGCAAAATATAATAAAATGATGCAATCCCCACTGTTTTCAACAAAGCAAAATAATTTTCAAGTTTTTTCTTCGAACTTTGATAGCTTTCTATTTTTAACTTGCAATAAAATTGCAGTTTTCCCAGGTGTTGCATAGTATTTAATATCATCAGCATTCAACACTGTATCATATTAAGAGATAACTGCTCTGGATCGTATGCTATAATACAGTAATTTGCAATTTCCTTAGTCTTAAATTCTTTAAGTAATGCCAACGTATAAACTCAAAATATTAAAAGCCCTATCAACAAAACCTAAGGAAACACTTGCCCAATGACCTGATCAACCTGCAAGTGTGACAGAAGTTCAACTACCCTGTAAAAAAATCTTATTTTGAGATTCACTGATGTATGAGACCCTTAAAAATCGAAATAGCAAGTTTAAAGGGATTTCAATAAAAGTATTTTTTCTTCCATGCTTTTTTAAAAAATACCACTGCATTCTAACAAGTAATATAACAAGTATATGTGGTAAATGTGGTAAGGTCAGAGAAGTGTCTCTTGCCCTTAAAGTTCCTGAAAATACAAGGATGTATTGACATAAACTAAGCGTCATTTTGTTACAAGATTCCAGGGCAGGAGGAATAGGGAAACTGAGACAGGAAAGTTAAAACAAGGCCAAACAGTTGCAAGGCCAATTTGCAGCCAGCTTATAACAAGCCACTATCTTCCCCAACCAAGGACACTTGAGAGTAAATGGTTAAAAACCACCCTAAGGAGAGAAATGCAGAAAGGAAAGTGGGGGGTGGTGGGGAGGTAGGGGAAAGGAAAAAGGGAAGTTTTACTCCCTAAACAGAGATGACAACAGTCTCCAGGCTTAGCAAGATAAAGTTGCCAGGTGCTTCTCATGAATTCTGGGAAGGCCACGACAAAGTAAAAAGGAACCTTGAGAATTAATATGTACCAAGAAATTCATCAGAGAAATTTTGAGACCTATAGACAGGAGGGTATACTAGGTGTACCAGTTAATAATGCAGATTTTTTTCAATAGATGGAGTTACACATATGTTTATATATATTCGATTTGATATGTATGCTATTTTGTTGTATTGACAGCAAGCTTCAAAACTTCATTGTGTACTTCAGGAAGCTTATGGTAAACATGCTCCACCTCAAGATACTGTGAACACTGGTTTAAATGCTTTAAAAGTGATCATTTCGATGTGAAAGACAAAGAACATCCAAGTCAACCGAATAAGTTTGAAGACCAACAATTACAAGCATTACTGGATGAAGATGTGTGTCAAACTCAGAAACAACTTGCAGAAAGATTAAATGTTGCTCAGCAAACAATTTCCGATCATTTACAAGCAATGGGAAAGATTTTAAAGGAAAATGGGTGCCACATCAACTGAACAAAAGACAAATAGAAAACCAAAAAGTCATCAGTTAAAATGTTTGCTTCAACAGCATGAAAGTCTCTTTTGCATCGAATTGTGACTGGCAATGAAAAGTGGATTTATTCTGAGAATCCCAAACGCACAAAATCATGGGTTGATCCAGGTCAACCATCAACATGGACTGCAAGGCCAAAGCGCTTAGGAAAGAAGACAATGCTCTGCATTTGGTGGGATCAGGAAGGAGTGGTGCATTATGAGCTTCTAAAACCAGGTGAAACCATTAATACTGATCGCTACCAACAACAATCAATTTGAACCACGCTTTGATCGTAAAACGACCAGAATATGCCAGAAGACACCCGCCGTATTCACCAGACCTTGCTCCTTCAGATTACCACTTGTTCCGATCAATGGCACACGCACTTTCTGAGCAGCACTTCAAAACCTACAAAGTGGAAAATTGGGTCTCTAAATGGTTTGCCTCAAAACAAGGAAAGTTCTATTGGGACGGTATGCACAAATTACCTGAAAGATGGGGGAAATGTGTAGCTAGCGATGGACATTACTTTGAATAAAGCACTTTTGATGTTTCTCTTGAAATTATTGTGTTTTCCTTAATTACAAAATCCGCATTATTAACGGGTACACCTGGTATAACACCTCTGACCACCCCTCCACCACCACCACCACCTAACTTGCTCTTCACATTAGCTGAGAGCCCCTCTGCGCTTCATAAGCCAGATGTATAGATTTGCTTGCTTCGCTTCTTTAATAAAGGTGCATGCTTTGCTTTGATACATTGGCTATTCAGAATGCAGTCAAGGTCTCTCGTATAAATTATTTATATGAGAAGACAAGGATCGACGTTGGGACCGCCCTCTCTCACTAACTCAGGGGGCTGCCCGGAAACAACCTCTCTGGTGTCAGTGAGAGGTGCCTCTAACAATTTCAAAACCAGATAAACTTAAAGAGATGAAACAAAACCATAATTCAGTGTTGGGATTAAGATGGATGTTAATGCAAACTTTTTTCTTTTTTTTTTTTACGTACACAGGGGTAGTCCTTACTGTATTTGGGGGCAGAAAACTGCTTCATCTTAACGTTTATTACATAAGGGAAGATTCCAAAGACAAGTGCTTTGCAAACACAGTTGACAAAACCAGATCACGCCTCCCTGCACCAAGTCCACCTTCAAGGACCAGAACGACCAACTTCACGCACCACTGTCACATGGCAGTTCAGAAAAGTTGGCGTCTTCCGAAAAGGGCCCCGAGAGAACAGTCATGAAACGCTTCGAGAGAAAACTTGCTCAGCAACAGAGTTTTGGACCATTCAAGTCCCTTCCCCTTGGCCTTTTCTTCAGGAACCTAAAATTGATTTTCAAATTTCTCTTCGGAGTTTGATTTACCATTTTAATCTTAACATTAACATTAACAGATTAATCCCCCACGCCTACAGCCCAACCAACCCGACCTCTGCACACATCTGTTAGATGATAAAACTCTACGGGACTCACAACTCAAAAGCAAAACCCGGGGAGCTCAACCCGTACCCCATAAAGGGAGGAAATCCAGGGTCAGGTAAAGCCCTGCCACACTGCCCACGGGGCACACCACGCGGCAGCGAGACCGGCACTCACCCACCGCTGGCCGGGAGACGCAGACCTGGGTGTTTAAAAGTCTGGAGCGCCGTCGGCCCGCTTACTCTCATGGGGAAGGCTCTCACACACCCCTCACTGCTCCCGCGGGAGGACGCTGGGCGCTGCCATTTTGACAAAAAGGCGGGCCTTGCGCGGGAGGCCCCTTAGTAGGTAGCCCTGAGCGGAGCCGGAGCTCCGGGGACCCCCGGACCTGTCGACTCCACGCCCGCCACGCCATCGTCCCGGCCTGCAGCGAGTGGCCCGCGCTCCGGGCCCACGGGGAGAGCGCGACAGGACCAAAGGCCCTGGGAATCCCGCACGGCC